AGGGCAGCAAGAACAACAGAGGTTGCTAATAACAAAGCAATGAGTATCTAACACAGCCTGAGGTGTATCACACATAGTAACAGAAAATATCTGGAATTTACACTGGTTTTTGTTACCTTCAAAAGTCAGAATGAGAGGCTTGCAACTTCAAATTGGAAGTTTATTTTAGCCTCTGCTTTGCATTCAGAAGACAGGTAATTTTTCATCACACCACACAAAGTGCTGCTGAAAATATGTTGTGTTTTTCTGCAGTATAATTTTATTGCTGGCCTTCTGCCAAGAGTCTTTCTGGCAGCATCTCCCACAGTTGGAAACTGTGTATCTGGGTCAGAAAAGACAAGCCGCTTTTCAGAACAGCTCAATACATTTGGCAGAGATGCTGATATTGTAATTGAACTCTTTCAGCAACTCTCTTTATGATGTACCCAGACACCAAACAAAACAAGATCTGCAGTGTTGATTAATGTCAAAATAACTGACAGAGAAATATCAAAATAGTTTTTCCTCATGTTAAAAGTATCAACAAACCGGGGGGGAACAGATAAGAAATACAATTCATGAGGATTCAGAGAGGAGCACAGGGCAGAGAAATCTGCAAAATATGACTGACCTGTGCCTTGTGCAGATATTCACTATTTAAAATCCCAGCTCCTCATATGGAACTTCCTCCTTCCCTACCACACAAAGAGAAATCCTGGCCACTCAGAGCATTGTGGAGAGCAGTGCCCTGTAACGCTGGGACACATATTTAACAAGGTTCAGGCTGCTTCCAACAGTATGCTCAGCATCCAGTTTCACCTGGAGACTGTGTATTCATAGGAGTTTTATTATTTTCCATGTAATGCATTTCCTGGCAAAGTTGCATGTGGGATAACCTTTAGAAGGCTGGAATTTTCCATCCAAATGAATAATTACAAAGCAACACTATAGTTAGAAGCTGCAAAGGTACTTCCTCTGGCAAACTCTTGCACTTCATACAACAAATACTGGAGTCTAGGATTACTCTTGCCTGGTCACTTCTCATAATATTTCAATCAAAGGCTCCTGTGCTCGGAGACCTCTTGGGAGCAGCCCCTGCCAGGCAGCCCCCACACCCAGCTTTAAGTGCCAAATACAGGGTAGGCACAAACTTGACAACCAGATCTGGAACCACAGCACATGTAACCATCAGAACAGAGAAATCAAAGTCACCTTCCAGGGTCCAGAGCTCTGACAGTGCTCCCAGTGCAAGGAGCACAGCTGCCCACTTGTCAGCGTGCAGGAAGCTGCTGGAGAGCTCCTGGGGAGAATCCATCTGTGCCAAGGCAGGACCCTCTGGTCAGAGATGCAACTGAAAATCAGTGAACACATGGATTCCCCTCCACTGTGGAGTAAGGAATGAAAAAAGAGCCAAAAGAAATCACACTGGTACAGTAATTAAAGAAGTTGAAGAATCAAAGGCAAGCAATTGCTTAATCTAAATTAATGCATTAAGGTAAAGGAAACAGGGATGTGCCAAGTGTAGCTCGTATTTTTAGCTCTTAGAAAGAAGGTGAAAAGATGGTCTAAGGGGAAATCATTACCAGCCTAACAGGAAGGTTAAAAAAGGAACAACAGAGTCACTGTGTGAGCACACAGGCAATCATTTGAGGAAAAAAATGCTCTATTTTAGATAGAATCACACCATCCAGTCTCAGAAAGAAATAGATATTAGTAGAAATAACTGCAATTATTGAATTGTAATGTATAAGAAAGATAACAGTTTTGGAAAGAATGTAAGATCCTCCTGAGATTGAACCTACTACAGACTCCTGAGGAAGGTATTCACCATACTCACCACACTCACCAGGTGGTCCAGAGCAGCACACCAGCTGCAGACCTTGAGGTATTTTCTACATAGATTTTTCACATCTCCCTCTAGATTTTTATCTGGCTTCACATTCCCTGAAACCTGCACAACCCCCAGCAGAGCCAGGGCTACAGAGGGCCTCTAAGGAAATAATTTTGAAATTGCCTTCACCTCCTGGTATGGGTGTCAAGATGCAAGACTGACTAGAGCCAGATCAAGTGCAAAAAGTTTTTAAAACTGTCTGCTGACACTTATAAATAACAAATTGACACATGAACAGTTTATGTTTTCCCTGTTCAAACAGTAAGAAATATGCAAAACTGAACACTGCAGAAGACAAAATATCTTAAAGGGTGCATTTCTTGACAGGTGTCTTAAATAAAAAGTTACATATTAAATGGTACATAAATAATGAATAGCAAAGAGTTCATTTGAGACAAGGCAGCAACCACCACTGGATTCTCAATGTCTGTGAAACACTGAACTGATTTGTGACTTGAGACACCCTAATGTTACATTCCTGCTTCCCTGGCTAAACTGGTCAAAGGAAGCATGAAGGTACTTTGCAGCCATAATGTGACATCCACACTCAAAATCATCTGAAATTCTTAACTCAGACTGCATTCATTTACAGTTGAAAAATTAACTAAATTAATAACAGGATTACATTACACTGAAATGACACTCACCATCTGCAATGTCATTCTCCCAGAGACAGAGCTGGTTTAAGCAAAATTCTGGATCTATGCCTGAAATGACATCACATTCTCCAAAAGAGAATCACAGTTCTACCTCCTCCACCCAGTTTGTGCCATGCTGGGTCCTCACCATGCCAGCCCTGTCCTGCACCACACCCCAGCATTAAAACCTTGCACATCTCCAAACTCCCAGAGACTCCCCACATCCCTGGATTTGTGAGCACTGCCTTTACCTGCAAGGCTTTTGCTGGTCCAGAAACCACCACAGGAAGTAACCACGATGTTGAGGAGATTCAGAACAGGGACATTCCTTCCCCAGCACCCTTCAGCTTCACCGAAATAGCTGCAGTGCCCCAGTTTCTTTGCTGCTGTGATTCATATCCCATAGAATACGGGATTCTGCAGGTGGACCCGAGCTGCAGCCCAGCGACTCAGCCAGGATGGGGGAACTGCCACCAAGGAGGCAAAGGCACACACATGGAAATGGCTGGAAAGCATGACATTCCCTCTGTTGAAATACAATTTCAACAAAAAAAAAGAGGCTGGAGCCCAAACTGTCCTACAGTAACACTGGATCTGCTTGCATTGGTGGTTTGCACTTTTCATCAGTTCCATGAGGCAACAGCCAAACACTTTGGCTCTACTCTCTGCCCCCTGCTCTGCAGCTCAGGCTAATGCATATCCTGAATTAGTAAGAGGAAAGAGAAAAGCAACATGGATTCTAAAGCTCTGGTTATAAACAAAGCCAATTTAGTAATTCTTACAAATAACACAGTGCAAATAAGTCTTTGAGAGTTGTGTTTTCCCAGTGTTTACATGAAGTGTCAAAGTATTAAGAAGTTTTTAAGAATAAATGCTGTCCTTCTGACTAAAATTTCAGCAACCCTCAACAGTGAAGTTTCAGGAAGCTTCTCCCCAGAATTTCTTCCCTGATGTCAATTATACAGACCCTGTGTTTTTGGTGTTGCAAACCCCCCTGGTTACTGTGCCTGGCTGCCTTTCAGCCAGTTTAAACATTCATGACTTTCCCCTGAAATGCATTTTCTAGTATGTCAGTCTGGCTGCCTCAGTAACTTTTTTTTTTTTTTTTTTTTAATTAAAGAGAGAAGATTTAAAAGGATTTGGAATGGAAGATCACTATACTCTGTGAATCTTGTGTAAAAAGCTCTTCTGCTCCCAGTCAGTGCACATCCTCCATCTGATTTTTCCCATGTTTTAGTTCCACTCTGACTCCTGAACAAGTTCAGGTTAATTTTTTACTTCCTGACTAATTGGCTATTTTGTTGAAGAACACATTGTCAAAGTTTCTGGATTACTAAAAGCTTCAAGTTTTAAGTGTTTTCTCTTGCCACCTCTTGCCTAGCCAACCACATTATTTTAAGTTTAATTCAGTGTCACAACATGCAATACCACAGAAAGATCTGAAACAGAATTTGTAACTAAAATCTCAGGCTGTTTAGGGAACAAAATTTGCTCTTTTGAAACCCTTCAGAACTCAGCAACCCTTCACTGGGGAAGGGTACCCTGGCTGCCACCCATTTTCAGCCTCAGAACACAATTATTTACTTCAAATGCATTATAACTCTACCAAAAGATTTGAATTAGGTTACTTAGGCATGAAAGCTAGCAACAATATCCATCAAAGTAAAACACCACACCAGCCTGAGACAGCTGAGAAAGAATTGTCACTTGTGACCCAAGTCCACCATTTGCCTTGGACAAGATCTTGTAGTAGAAAGTCCCAGCTTGGCTAAGAGGAAGAAAAAGAGCCACAAATATATTTAGAGATGTACAGAATTAGTAAATATAAACAAAAGCCCTATTTGCCTGGAAAATCATGAGTCTAAAAATATTTTAGATGGGCTCAATCCAGCATCCTCTTGCCTCAGCACATCTCCACTGCACGCATCTGCTGTCAGATCTGCCAACTTCACTTGCAAAACTCATGTATTATTCCTCTCTCCAGTTCTCACGGCACAGTACAGCCACGGAAATGTAAAAAGGGATGACTCTAGCAGAGACCATGACTGGTGGAAATGCTCAGTTTGTAGACCACAAGCTAGGTTACAAAATTAATTTCTGAGCCTAAGTTCTATCTATTAGTCTTATCCTTAGGAACATCCTGAGATGAGTAATGAATTCCACAGCCTTTTTTTTTGTTTATTTTTAATAGGTTGGTGATATTAAAAAAAAAAAAAAAGGCTAAATTAGGTGTCTGTAGTACTGTATTCTGCGGAATCTTTGGAGAACAGAACTGTGCTAAGTAATTGATCTTCAACTTGAGAAGCTACAGTTACCCTTTTTTTATCTTTTGAATTTCAAATAAAATCTGGGGGGAGAAAAAAGAGCTCTCAGGATAAATGCACCAGTCCCAGGTGGATGGTGTTTTTAAACCACAGACACAACTTTGCTGATTTGGCCTCTTTCTTTAAATTTCCTACAGGACTATGAATTAGTTTAATTTCTCTTTATAGATAATGATGTCATCTCCATTGTGCCACTCACAAGAGCACCAAAGACACTTCCAGCTCTTCATTTGCTAAAGAAACTTCCCCAGCCTTTGCATTCTCCCAGATGTCACACCCCATCCTCCCACCAGCATCAAGCAGCAAATCTTGGAACAGCAAAACAGGATCTGCATCTTGGGAGGCACCAAACTTGCCAGGAGCCCCAGAAGCCCCTTGGGCAGGTCAGTACCCCCCAGCCAGGCTGGCACACACCCAGAGTGTGGCACAGCCACTGCAGCTCCTGGAGCAGGGGCAAACCCCACTTTCTCCAGGAGGAGCAAACAGCCTGGCAAATCAATACCAGCATTCCAAGTGCTCTCAGCCTTGCAGGGACATCAGCTCACAACACAACTCCCTCACCCCAAAGCTCCCTGAGTACTCTGGAGTTGCTAAAAGTAACACTTGGAATTACTGTCCAGGGAAAGACTAGAGAATAGCAATCAAAGTTAGTTTATTTTGGGCCATTAGCTGCAAGTTTGTGTCTGGCCACTTCAGTTCTCCAGATAACGGGAAACCTGCTGTGCCTAAATGCAGCACTGATGGGGTTTGTTTCATTTCTCAAAAGGAGTTGCACTTGGGAAGCCACAACCTGCCAGGGTAGGAGAGCACATGGTTCCGGATGCAGAGGCAGGATCAAAACCAGGATTAGAAACCAGCTGCCACACAGACTGAGGGTGTTCTCCTCAGGTGGGCAGTGAGATAGAAACCCTTTCATCCCTCAGGCTGGATTAGACTGCAAATATTTTCATTGCCTGCTTAGCCACCTGTGGAAATCTGTGTCCATGTCAACACCATCATTATACTGAATTCTGCTCCTGTCAGCACAAAAAACCTGCTTGGTTTTCAGTCCAAAACTATACTTTTAGTGATAAAAGAATGTCAGATTATAATGCTATCAATCTATTTTATTCCACAGTTAAACAAAATTCATCTCTAGAACCTGGCACTTCTGCGTTAGTGAAAAAAAAAAAAATTCTAAAAAATGGACATAAATACTTTGTGCACTGAAAGAGTTTTTGGTTCTGCTGGTTCTCCACTTTGCACAGCTCCTCTGTTGTGGAAACAAAAGTCCTTGTACTGGCCTTTCTCAGCGATATTTGCAAACTCCTACACTTGGTGTAACAGAGTGTTCAGAAACAGTTCATACTGGCCTGGGAAAGTTAGGTCATTATTTACTAACTGCAGAAATACATTGAAGAAAACAATAACAAGGTAAAAGAACATTCTTGCAATGGCTTGTTGCTTGTTTTCACAGAAACAAAAAAGTAATTAAACCTAGCTAACAGCTTTTCACTGAGCATTTTGCTCTAAAGCATTTCTGATTCACACACTGCAGAACCAGGAACAGAACAGCAGAACCACCAGTGCAACACTGTCAACACAAGGAAAGGCTGTCCCTGAAATTCAGTGGACAAATATTACCAGACAATTTCATGCTTTACCAACACAAAATCCAGAAGTTAAATTTAGAAGCATGATTTCTGCAGACACTCAGATGTTTCTGTTCTAAATTTTCTAGAAATTGCAAATTACAACTTGGCAGACTTTAAAGTAACCCAGCACGTGTCTTGTGCAATCCAAATCATGGTCTGTCCTATTACTCTGCAAAACTGTTAGGAAAAAAAAAAAAAATCATTCCTTTCACCACATGGCTTCAGACAAATGACAGAGACATTCCATTTATCTCTGTGCTAAGAATGAAACTTAAGTACTGTTTTTTCCTCTTGGAATATTGCCATGAAAGTTAAAAGCTAATAAAGGAACCAGCGTTCTCCCCACTGAAGGATAAGCACAGTTTGGTTGTGGCCATTTTCCCCATTCACCATGGGGAGAATATACTGCATTTCTAGACTGATCTCATTCCTAAATACTGCAAGGAGATATCAAAGCATGCAGGTGTCACCAAGGTGCTATGTAGAACTGGCAAACCCTGCAAAGTTTCTGCAACCACTCAAGAGATAAATGTGCTTTTCAACACCACGAAGAGTAAATTGAATGAAACAGCTCAGAGGTAACAAACCAAAGAAATCTTGGAAATTACTTCTCTATCTCCCAGTAACCAGACTGTACTGCCCACCCTCCCCCTGCTAACCTGGGGGAGATGGCAATCTCCATGCAGGACTTTACAAGAGACTGACAAAACCATTACTCTATCTTATCTATTTTGATTGCAGTTATCAAGTTTCAATGTACTTTTATTAGCAAAACACCCAAAATCAGACCTTAGAATTTCATGACTCTTCAAACATCACTTCTCTAATTGCTGATAGACGTGATAGACATAATTGCTGTGCTGTTTGCATGGGGAAGAGGCCTCAGTGCTCAGAAATTCAAGTGATTTGCTCAGGGCCAGAGTAACTCGGTGCTGGCACTTGGAACAGTGCAAGTTTTTCATTTACTACACACACCAAGCACAGAGCATCCTCTTCCCCTTTCTAGCTTTCCACCTGCTTAGGCTTCATTCCTTTAATTTGAACAGACATTGCATTCCTGGCTGCTTTTGTTATTCAATCTCTCTCATGGGTTCCTCACAGGTCAGCTTGGCAAACTGTCACAGGAAACGCTTGACAACAATTACCTGTCCATTCATGAGAGTCAAATTAGCAATTCAATATCTGAATATGGTATGATTAAACTGAGGAACCTAATTCACAATGTGTCCTACTTTCAGGTATCAAATTGTTTGAGCACTGTGCTCTTTTGAAAGTCAAACTGACGAGGACTCAGGAACCTTGTGTCTTCTCAAAAGAGGCCAATGGAATCCATCTTTTGTCAGGTAGCAGGACACACACAGTCTGTTCTCAGGAAGATCAGGAGTCAAAAAAAAAGAACACTTCAGAACACTATTGAGAGACCTGAGCCATTGTGCAGGGTAAGGGGAAGCTTTGCAGGCAGCTCCTCAGCACTGAGCACTCTGCACACCACATTCTAGCACATGTAAAGAAAACCCCCACAAGCTCTCTCTGCCACTTGGTTTTCCTAAAGCTCCAACTGACATAGGAGCAGTTGGATAAGGGTGTTTCTTCTCTCTCTCTCTCTTAAAAAAAAAGTAACAAAATAATCAACCAGTCAAAACTCAGCTTTCACATTAAGATACTGAGTGACCATGTAAAACACCCAAAATCAGATGTAAAGGATGGAGAGGGTCTGAGAGCATCTCTCTTACAAATCAGAAAAACTACTGGGAACTCCCAGATGACCAGGAGTGCACCTGTCGTGGCTTCCCCTGTCTGCACCCAAACCATACCCCTCAAACAAGATCCCTTCAGGCTGCTCCACACAGAGCTCCAGCCATCCAACAGCACTTTATATCTCCTGTCAGTTCATTCAGGATGGCTAATTTGATCTTTTAAGGAGATATTTCAAACTTTATTAGAATATTGTCAGCTGGAGGGACCTACATCAATCACCTAGTCCAACTGTAACAAGAGGAGCACAAATAATGAAAGCAGAGCAAGGGAAAGAAAGGAGAGAGGAAGTACAGTAAATCCTGAACTCCTCAACTCTCCACCAAAATTCAGTCTTCTATAGACTGTGCATGAGAGTTTCAACTGTGCTGTGTGATGAGGGCTGTCTTGGTTTGAAAAGACAGGTCTCTGATAAGGAAGGCAGGAGCCTCTCTTGAAATGGAAAGTGTAAACCCCCTTCCTTCCAAATTATTATAATTTTGAAATTAAGGGGTTCTCAGGCAAAGATATGGGAATAGGAATAACAGTTCTTTACTAGTATGTATAAATAAAAAACCCAAAACCCCTACAACTTAATAGGAAAATTAAAATAAAATGCAGTAGCACAAAAACCACTGACAGAGTCAGAATACAAGCTGACACCCTGTTGGGCAGGCTGTTGGTAGCAGTTTGATTAAGTGGTGGCTGCAGTCCTGGAGTGTCAGATGTGCTTCTGTTGAAGCAGTGATCCTGCAGAAGGGTGTAGTTTTCTGCTGAAGGTCCAGCGGTGACACGGAATGGCCTGGTCTTCCTCTGGGAATCCAGTGGGAAAAGGCTGACTGGTGTTCCAGCTCAGATTATATGCAAATGGGAATGCTTGGCTCCTCCCCCTGGGTGGAGCATGTCCCAATGGGATGATGTCATTTTATCAGTCCTGCAGTGAGACTCCATGGCCATTAACAGAAGAGATCCCCCCGGAGGGAGGATGGGTCATGGAAGAGATAAAGAACACTGCCACAGCTAGTTTTAACAACTGCTAAAATACATCCTTTTGGTTATATCTTGCATTGCAGCCCAAGACGGGGCAAAGAGGACTCATTGAGACAAGGTGCACCTGCTAAAACTGGCACTAAAACCAGGCAGCTACTGCAAACCAGCAGTGCCCAGCACCAACAGAAAGCAAGTCTTTGTTCTTCTGGCACAAGAGGACTCCTTTACTGTGAGTACCACATACAGATCAAACGTTTGTAATCAAAAATAAAGAAGCTAGCCAAGGGATTTGTATTAAAATAAAGATTGCAGATCACAGTGTGAACGTACCAGTGAGTCCCATGCCCAGCCAAGCTCTCCCCAAGCAACCCTTCCTCTGAAGGAGAGCTGCAAGGAGACAGCCTGAGCCAACAGTTTCTACAGCAACTGCAGAAGCACCAGTTCAATGATATTCAAACCGTGCAGTAACTGCAGAAGCATCAGGAAATGGATACTCCAGAAGGAACATTTGACAGTTTCTCCTGGGCTCCCTCTGCCTCCCTGGGCATTCCATTGATCCCAATCAGCTTAGGTCAACTCTGGAGTTGCCCCTTTCTCTGCAAATGCTTCTGAATCCTCTTTACTCTAATATTCTCTCAGCACACTTACTCCCTTTCAAAACTTAATGGGACAGCCACCAGAGAGAGTTTTGTAGACACGGTGCTGGAAGGATGAGTGTCCTCATCCTGCAAGGGAGAGACCAATGCATCCACGTGTGCTGCTGCTGCAACTCCTCACAGAGGGTGGAATGCTGTTATGACAGTGGCACTGGGCTGCTGCTGCACCACTAAAAGCACATTTGGAAGCATCTCAAGGGGAACCAAAGCAGAGGCCAGTTAGCACCCAACTGCACAGAAAGAGCAGATCCATTTGTAATGTGGCTATTTTAAAACTAATGTAGAAGCCTTATTAAGGAACACAAAATATTTCACTATACACTTGCTAAGTTCTTACCTAAGAATTGTCATTTATGGAAGGATGTTTAGGGCAGGACATCTCTTATTCCCCTTTTAAGAATCTGCTGTAATAAATCACAGCACCTCAACAGTCACAGTTTCATCAGTTCCATATTGCAGGAGTTTTTCCCTAAGTCTGCAGTGTTACTTTGGATCACGCTGAAATACTTGGCATGAAGCTCAGGCTCCTGACCCACAGCAAAAAGTTAAACAAAATTGCTCGTTTGTTTTTAAAAGGGTCAGGAGGTTTCCAGTTTCAGGCTCCTCAGTGTTCAGGTTGAAGGGAACAGTATCCACAGTGACAACTCAGGGACATTCAGTATTCAAGCCCTCTGCAAAGAATGGGCTTGATCAGAGACCTGTCAAAGATGCACTTTGTAAGCTGTTCTCTTTTATTAGTTTATTACATAAGGCCACATCCACAAAACCAGGTTTTTGGTTGAGAGATCACTACTGACTTCCAACTACCTGCTTTAAAAAAATATCCTTTATCTCCTGAGCTAACAAAAGTTGCTGAATTCCCCCAAAAGACAAGGCAGACCATATAAACATATTCAGTGTAAAAGACAATCTCATTCCTACACTAATGGTAGAAGAAAGAAAACATGAAAACAAAAATATTTTGGTTTTATCTTCATGCCTTTTATCATGATTTATCCAGATAGCACCATCACTATTGTGACTGTGACAGTTGTTATTTCTAAAATATGAAGAACTATGAAATCCAAAGTGGAAAAGCATCATATAAGTTGCTAAAGCATGCAGAGATGACTTCTGGATCAAATATATTCCTTAGCAGGCCAGTTTTGAAGGAATAAAGACTGCAGTTCCAGACAACCATCTTTTAACACAAATTAAAATTTATGAACAGTGTCAGGTTCCACAAAATTTGCTAAGACTGAAAATTCAACCAAATTTTTTAAATTGTTGAAAACCCCCCAGTTACAGGAGGTTCTTATGTGCCTCCAAGGTGGGAGTCATGATTCTTTTCTCTTACACAAATTTAGACAACTGTGTTCTCTCTTCAGCCTTCTGGCCATCTGTAGAGATGAGGAGGTGTGTACAGATGTGGGCTCAGAGCAGAACAAGCTACTTCTCTGAGCTCATATTTTTGGCAGTCACCAATTTCACCCTCACCCACCAGAAGCAAAGAAGTTATCTGTTTTGTCTCCCCGCCCTTTTCCCAGTATTTGCCTTTCTTCCTGGCTTTTCTAGAACACTTGTCACCATATTTACTGGAGTACATTTATTACTGGTTTTAAAGTAAGAGTTTTTGTGAGACAGGAAAACATTTCAGATCTTTATAGGGGGAACTTCAGATATGAAGAAATAAAATTGTGTGGTAAGTCAGCAGCAGCACCTGAAAAGGGAACAAATGCTGCCCTAATCAATACTTGCAGGTTAATTGCCAGACACTTCACTGGAACACAGTGTTGCTCAGTGCCTGCTGTTGAAGAGTTTTACCCACTTCCAGTTTTGGAAGCAGTGCTCCCAGTTCTCCTACACCCCATCCCCGTTTACCACACACTGCAGTTCAGCCCCGGTGATGCTCTTTCAGGTCACCCAAATGGCACAGCTGAGCACTTTAAAGGAACAGATTAAGTCTCTGCATGATTGAAGACTTGGACAGCATGGCTGGGTAACCAAAGAAGCCCTAATCTATTTGCCAAGTCCAATTACCTAGCCATCGAATCAAGAGATCACAAAGCATTAGGACATGGAATAACTGTTCACCAAATACTTTTAGCTCTCTGAAAAGATGACAGTCACTGAGAAACTATGACATGGAAAAGGCATCATTCAAAGCAGAGGTGGGGAGAAATCAGTTCTTGGACATTTATCTTTTCCTCTCAATTATGAGAGTAAAGGGGAAGAGATTGGGATTGGAAGAGCAGTAAGAATCCAAATGTTGAGTTTCTGTTTCCTTGAAATCCCATCAAGTATCCTGCTTGGAGATCCATGTTTGCTCCTTGTTCCATCATACCACAGCCCTCAGCTTTCCAGTGGCTGTGTCTGTTCTCTGGAGTCACAGGCTGTACATCTACCCTTCATTCCAGAGTCTTTTCTATTAAAGCAAATCCCTTCAGATTGTCACATCAGACATAGAGCAATCGGGCAGAGCAGAGAAGGAAAAGTAGAAGAGTACCAGGAGGGTCACAGAGCAAACTCAATCCCCATACCTAGAGAAAAAGAACAAGTTTCCGCATGCAAAGAGCTGCCCCTTTCAGCACAGCTGTATCAAAAACAGGAATAAATTACTAATATGTCTCCTTGTCTTCATACTGGAAAATGGCTGTCTTCAGCCAGCCCCAGCATCAGTCACACCTGCCAAAACATCACACAGCTTTCTCAGCTGGGAAAACCAGCCACGCAGGTTGGGCCACTGCCACCACAGCCAGGGAAGGAACACCACATAAATAGCTGTTATGTGCATTCAGCTTCAAAATTGATCAAACTTTAACACGCGTTAGTCAGCACTTCCACATTCACTGATGTGATTTGTTTTACAGTTAAAAACAACCACCTGCAGCCCCATCCCATGGACCTTCCCCACACAGGGTGCCACCATTGGACCCTTGATGATCATGCTCCTACTCTGTCAGAAACACAGCACCAGCTGACTGCCATGGGGCAGCTAACTCAAATGCTTTCTATTTTCATTTTTTAATACAAGTTGTAATTTGTTTGTTGAATGGATCTATTCATACTGTCCTGATATGTCGCCTCCAGGTGATGTGTTTGGTCCAGCTGGTCGGTGTCTTGCTAAGCAGGCTGTAAAAAGACCTTGTAAATCAAACACCTTTATTCAGGTATATACCAGCTGGCAATTGTAAAACATCACCTATTTCAACAATGGCAACTGAATTCAGTGGAGTATAGCATGTCAGCTTGTTTCCTTGCTGAATTTTGTACAGTCTCTTTAGTGAGCAAGATAGCACACTTATAATTTCATGTTAGTTCATGTTATGAAAAAAGACACCATGTTTATGGAGAAGGTTATATTGGGACCATGCTTTGGCTGCTACATCCTAGCAAAGAAAACAAAGCCCTGCAACATGTGAAGAAAATTTTATGCCTCTTTCAAGATCAACCATGATTTACCACAATCTTGTTATGGGACCCATCCCCTGCAAATTACAGACTAAAAAAAAGATGCATTAATTTCACAATGTCAGTGGAACTATGGTAAACCATTTTTTGGCAAAATCTTGGTGGAAGGAATCAGTTGTTGTGTGCCCAAAAAGCTCCTGCCCACAGCCTCTGGCCTCCTCAGCCTCTTGAGGGAGTGTTTTGCTAAAGCTCATTTCTGGAAGCACAAAGCAGCTGCACAGAGGTTGTGGGGCTGGGCTTCCCACACACCCGTGGGCTGTGCCGGCCTTTCCACAAGGCAGATCCTGCTGGCTGAGAACTGGGATTAGGGAACATTTGGTTTGGGGTCGTTACCAAGCCAGTCCAATAGCTCTGGAGGAACTTTGCCCCATGGAATATCATCCCCGTGTGTCAGGGAATACTGAAGACTCTTGAGGGCCCAACACTTAAGACGCTGTGCCAACACTCCAATCTGCTGTGTTGCAAGTCAAACAAGAAATGTGTTCAGTCGAAGTGTCTTCCCTCCCAAGAATCAGAGTTAAAAGAGAAAAGCACAAGACCCTAAACTCAGCCTGCCCTTTGCTCCTACCAGGGGGCAATTTCTATGGGGTAGCACCAGTTTCTCACCATCGAGTTCATTTACTGCCAAGCCAAATGCCAAGTTCTGCTTTAAAATCTAAATGAATTCTGGTTCATAAGATTTCTTCAAGTTTTGTGACATCTCACAGCTACCCACGAGTAAGACTGTTCTTCCCAACCAGATACTCAAACATAAAATTTTTCAATAAAGACAGTTTAAACTAAATGCACAAAAAGAACAAGAAGCAGCAAAATTTAATTTACTGGCATAGCCATACACACCCCAATTTTATTTTCTTTTTAAGCATACAATTAAGGGTAATTTAATTCCCCTGTATAGGCATTACATGAAAGAGAAACGTTATTGTAAAAGAGCTCAATACTGTTGGTACACAAACCTTACGACAGATAAATTAGACCTTAGGAAAACAGCATATAATTTACATTTTGTTATGTCAATCACCAGGAGCATCTTAGGGCTCTTAAATAGCACACTAAACCACAACATAAGGGAACTAATGTAAATCAACACATGTGGCAGGATCACTTAAGTTTCCACAATCCAAAAGATCCGTAAAATGGATTTCATAAATGATTCCTCTTCAACATCCACTTACACCTTTAAGTTATCAGCAGGTTATGACAATATTTTAAGACAGAAGAGTTATAAAGTTTTGCATAGTTATAGAAAAATCAACCACATATAACCATAAGGGCATGGGGTTTACTAATTAATCCCTGGTCCTCATTATTGGAGAAGCCAGTGGGCAGATGTGCAGGTGGCCCAGAGAAACAGCAGCCTGGCTCAGCTGCATGGAAAATCCAGCCTTGGGTTAGTCCCAGACTTGGGTTTAGCAACAGAGGAGGGACAGAGCAGCCCAGGACGATGCTTTACATACCCTTCACAAACAGCAGAACAAATGACATACTCTGAATTTGTTCTGGGGCTTCCCCTACAGCCAGCACCTGATCCACATTCTGACACCACACAGGAAATTAGCAGAAAGGTCAGGATGTGCATTGCACAGCAGAGCCAGGAGCACAAGGCAACAGACCAACGTGGGGTGGGCTCCAAGAATTCTGTCCCTTCCAGTCCATGGTATTAGAGGACCAGAAACATAATTTACCTACTAAATAAAGTCTGAAAATTCAGAGTGCAAGATGTTTACTTGCTCATATAATTCTTAAGAATTCCTCTACAGGTTTTTTGTTAAGGGACATGAATTGGGGTTTTCAAAGAAGTTAAATAGGAACACTGTCCCTCTGTGAGCTGACACAGACACAAACTGTGACACTGTTTTCTGTCATCAGTGCTCAGTGAAAAACTCACACATAAGAAGGAAAAGCTACACAACTGCCAAGAACTGCAGAAGTACAACTGGAAAAAATACTGTCTTTGGCCTTGTAGCTTGTATCAATTATTGCTTTTAACAAAAGATACCAGCAATGCCTTTCAGGTAAGGCTTCTCCTTCCTTAAACATCAAGTACAAAGTTTCTGTTTGTCAAATCACACTGCAAGTACAACAAACGTAGTCAAACTATGGTTTCTACAGAAGGGTTTGAGACTTGCATTTTTCTGTTCTTTAAATCTCTTAACATTTCTTTCATATTGCTTTAAACAGGAATTTTCCTTTTGATTTCCTCACTGCAGCATATTCAGCAGCAAAACAATCTTCACTTGCCAATACTGCTGGGCTACAGCAAATCCAGGACACCGCAGCAGCCAAGTGCTCCTCATGTGGCTGTTGTCAGAAAAGTCCTCGCTCTCCCCAGCCCAATCCAAAGTAAGGTACTGACCCAAAATGCTGAGATGGTGAGAGACACCATAAACCCGAACTCACCAAGAGCTGGAGCTGAGCCCAGAGAGGTGCAGAGTGACCCTCTGCATCCTCATCCCCCTAGCATCTCCCTCAGCAGCCAGAACATCCCAGCACCTCCCTCCCACCTGCTCTGAGCGCTCCCCCTCACCCAGTCCAGCCTGTAAAATACACAAACTGCCACAGTTCTACTCCTTCTAAATTGATACTTTGACACATTGGCTACTTCTAGGAGTATGTACCTCACCCCAGCCCAGGACAGAGCTCCATGTTTTAACAGACACTTCACCAAGCATGCTCACGGTGCCTTTTTACACACTCAGAAGATTGTTAACCAGCTAGAGCCTTTCCCACTCCCCTTTTCCAGCCATGCTCTTCAAAGAGCTCTATTTACATGCCAAGCTACAAAGCAACGTGGAAAAACTGAAGCTTTTATGATTCTACAGTGAGGTTTTTCACAACATGAAGCAGCTTCTTAGACTATTTTTTTTTTCATTTTTTTATTTCCAAACAAGATTTCACAGTTAAAAAAAAAAAAAATCTCAGTCCACCCACAGGCTTTTGAGGAACATTAACAGAGGGTCTTCAAAAGAAGAGAGCTCTGCAACCTTAAGCATTGCATTCTGAATGAACATCCATGGAAAAACTGCGTACAAGTCAGAAACAAGAGTCACCAAAACCCACATATGCACCAGAGTTGAAACTATTTCTCCCATGTTTAGGTCTGGCATGGCTTGCCTTATGCCATCTTCTGTTGTACCTTTCCAATTGCTTACTGTCTTCTCATTTACTTCTGAGCCTTTGGTTTGAAATCAGCTGTGTCTGAAATCCCTTCTAGGACAAGCCACCAAGCCAGTGTTGGTCATTTCCTCAGCAGCATTGATACCAGTTTGCCCTGGGGCTCCCCCAGCCCCCAACACACAAGAATTTCTATGTGGAACCTTTCTCCAGTTCCCCGAGAAATCAAGTCCTAGATTTCCACCTCATATTCTGTCAACCACACAGAGCAAGAACTGACACTTCATCAGCATCTTCTTTGTGCAGAGATGAAAAATACTGCCAAGAGTTCAGCAGAAACGAGTCTGGATGAACAGCCTGTGCAAATAAAGCCCTTTATAAAACCAGGACTAACCAAACTCGCAAGACTGAAGATTCTCTTTGAACTACAAATGCCAAAGGAGCACCAGACTGGCACCATCAATGATGAGATTCTGAGGAACACAGAACTGAAAGCATTAAACCCTCACTGTTAGCAATCCTACTCCCTCTTCTCCACATTTCTCCCTGCATTCTACACAAAATGAAGCATAGGAAAATGGTTGGAAAGCTCCAGACAGAAGAAAATTATACATGCCAAGAACTTCCAGGGACAAGTCTAACTTCCTAAAAATGACCAGGAATTTAGTAGAAGCTTCAGCCATCTGCTGACAGATTTCTCCTTCCTCTTTACACTGGCAGGAAATAACTACAACCCAGCTTGTACACCTTCCATGGAAGAGGTGGGCTCGTTAAATTCTTGGAAAACATTCTTCAGAGAGAGAACAACGACCTTGAGCAAACTCAGAAGTACAGCAATGCAACCTCTCCAGGGACACTGCCAGGCCTTCCTCGCTTGCCATTCCAAAAGTTTTGTTTTAAGGCCTCCCCTCCAAATAGCCAGCACTGCTCCATACTCCTTCCTTCCTTCCTCTCTGCCACCACTGCTGCTTCCTTTGGGTCTCAAAAATGGTTTCCATGTCTTTAAAAATCAAAGAAAACTAGACCAAGTTTGCAAACAGTCCTTTCTTCTCCATTCCTTCTAAAGATGTTAAAGTATTCTGCATGAATGGAGGAAATTATTTTAATTTTCTGTTTTTACCCTAGAAGGCCAGGCTTCAAATGTTTGCTGGAACACAAGTATTTTAATTTAAGTTAAATAGCCCAGCTATTTTAATTAACTTACAGTTTCATAAACATTTTTTGGAACTGGAGATCTGAAATATGTGACATTCTTCAGAATAATCCTCACTTAAATCTTTCTCTGCTTTAACCACACTTAACATTTCTGAGTTGTCACAACAAAGTACAGTAAAACTTTTAAAAATTGTTAACAAACTAGAGGACACAGATACAGAAAAAAATTAATTCCAATGTATCTAGGACCCCCTACGTTATCAATTTGCTCTTCTGCCATACCCTGTGCAGGAACTGCTTGGAATACTCACTCTCTTATTTCTGTAAATCACAAGGCACCCTTTTCACAGCCACGTAAATAAATAATAAGACATTTAGCCAGATAATGCATATTTTCACTTTGACTCAAAACTCAAGTTTTGCTCTACTCAGCAGCATGCATGTGACTCCCTGGTTATCCCTTTCACGCTCTCACTTCCAGAAGGAATAGCGGGTTAATGATTACAAAATCCAGTGTAAAGCAAATACAGAATGAAAGACGGAAAAAAAGCCCAAACAAACCATGGACCATAACACTCATGGTGTGCTCGGAGCCAGGAGCCTGCCCGGGGCCCGGAGGGACCGGGCTACCCCGCGGGGCCGGGGCGCCGAGGGCGCT